CAATGGGTAGCTTGGTTGTCAGAGGAAGAAGAGCAGAGCATGCAACAGAAAACTTCTAGGGTAGAAGGGAAAACAATTCAATGTAGCCAACCAGCTGGGAAATATCTCTGGTGAGAAATCACCCAACTGTACCCTTCTCTGGAGTTGACCACACAACCTTTTTCTCCAGTTTTCAAACTAAAACCAAGGCTGCGCCGTCAGGGCTGAAAAAGCTAAGAATTCAAAGGAAGCATTTCCAGTGCTGTGGACAAGGCCTGGGGAAGTCCATGCTAACCTACCCTGACCTGAAGAATGATCACTTACTTTCAGGACAGGGACTAATCACGGGTAAAGATTAAAAATGAGACTGTAGCATCACGACCACAACAAAAAGAGAGAGAGTGATAAAGAGAGACTTAGAAATGAACACCCACTTACTTTCAGATGAAAAGGTTGAGTCAAAGTGGTGTTAAGGAGCTGATAAATAATGTAGCCAAGAACCCCCAGAACCAGACGAATACAGTGGGTGGTTTTCTTTTCCTCCCAATAATTGCTCTTTACCTGCAGGTCTGAGGAGCATGTTCTAAGATACATAACAATTTTCTTGATGTATATAATTCAACTGATCTGCCTCTTGTATTTGGTTCTGTTTTTGTTTGTAATTCACTTCCACCAGGTTGTGTGGATGAAGTAGGAAAAGATGGTCTTCGGCATGTCAGGAGAAATCCCCCTTTCTTCCTTATCCCTTCCCATTGCAATCTCTTGCCTCCTTCCTCCCTGGGCCATCTACACTTCACTTTGTGCTTCCCTCAGATTCCAGGGGCAATCCAGGGCACATGTGCTCACCAGAGAGAGACATACAGAGAGAGAAAGTGGGAAAGCAAGCCACCAGGTCCAGGTTGTGAATCACACTTAGTCAAGTGGGAGTCCTTGGCCTTAACCACCGCCACCAGCTGGCCCCATGTGAGTTGTCTTTAAAGAACTTGCTCCAGCGAGAGCTGCAGAGAAGCACAGGGGTAATTACAGTGCAGGATGGTGAGTCTATGAGGCAAGAGTACAGCCTGGGAAAGAGCTGAGATAGGGTATAAAGTTAAGTCCCGGAATTGCACATGCCAGGTATTCTTTAGTTGTAAAACGTAGATGTCATCATTCCTTTTTCATTACATTGGTTCCTTAAAATTTTTCATTTATTAATTCCTTCCATGAGCAAGAGAGGTAAAGAGAGAGAGAGAGAGTGAGAGAGAGAGAGAGAACCCCCAGCAGGGTTTTGACACTGTGATCCACCCCCAGCCTTCAGCCATCACGGGATCATTGGCACACCCATGCCCAGCATAATCATAGAGGTCTCTGGGACTTGAACTAGGAACCTTCTTACATGTGATTGCCACACAGAGCATCATGTTTTACTGGTGTGCCCATCTGGCCCCTTATTACACAGACTTTGATGGCCAGAGAGGTTATTATAGTAATCTATTTAGGAAAGAAATGTCATACAGGTGTAAGGAGAAAATACCCAAGGGCTAGCTCCAGGACATCGAGGCTTGACATTTACATAATTTCAGGGAACTGAGAATGTTTTCTTCTTTTTTCCTTGAAATATTTTTCTACTGGTTTTGGATAGCTAATTTCTAACTCCAATGTAGCATATATCAAAAGTTCCATAGCAGGAAACTCATAAGCCCTTTTTGTATTCTCTGTTTGATTTGTAAGGATGGAAGTATATTTTTTTTCTGTGATGATGTTATAACAGTGATTTTTCAGAAATAATCTAAATTTGTAATCATGAATGCAGAATGCCATACTCTAATGACTAGACAGATTAGAATTCTAGTTTACCCCAAAGTATGAAGTCAATGCGGGGTAGGACGGGTGGGTCATAGGAGGAATGAGACCTTCATTAACTGTAAGCAGTTTCCTGGCAGTGTCGGGAGAGGATGAGGAGAGCCTCTACTAAAAGGATTAAATAGTGTTTAAACCCATTCTCCAAGAAACATAATATATTTTGGATGGTTTATGCCAATCCTTAAAAGGAATGTTTTACTGGTTTGTTATTTTTTGTTTTCTTGGTTTTGTTTTTCTTTTTTTTTTTTTTTTTTACAAGCTTAATAAGAACATAAATCCCTAAACTGGGACCAGCAGTTAGTGTAATGGCTATGTCGCTGGACTCCCACGTAGTTGACCGCGGTTCCCATCCCGGACCGATGGCTTAAAACTCACGCCGGGAGCATGTGCGTACGTGCCCAAGATCCCGAGAGGAGAATTAAGGAGAAGAGATTGCGGCGTGGCCATCCCCCCTGGGGGGTGATTTCTCGCTTTCTGTCTCTCTGTCTCTGTCTGGTGAGCACACACGCCCTATAGCAAAAAGCTCTAAAAAAAAAAAAAAAAGAACATAAATCCCTAAACTCTATTGGATTAACTGATGATATCCATAATAATCCCTCATCTCCTCCAAATGGGAAGGATGGATAGATAAATGAGAAGATAGATGATCGATCAATCGATAGATGATAGATTAAAAAAAAGTAAAAGTTGAACTTTAAAACCCCTGGGGAAGACCAAATGGCCCCACATTCTTTATCTGTAGTGCACTCACATTGGGGGTTTCTCCAGCTAGGAACTTCCTATGAGGAAGAGGGGAGAAGAATATCAGAGGCAGAAATCCTCAGTCATTCGGAGAAGACACGAACGATAGTATCTGCCACTAGTGTTGAGACTGCACTTTATCAGTCCTCAGTAGAATCTCAAAGGTCCCTGGGGCACTTTGTTGTCACAGAGGGAGTTTCTTAGGTTAGGGATTTCCCCAACAGTCTCTGTTAAGTTTCCCTTTCTGTAACTGTCGGGAGCCAACTGTCTGTCTCACTGTTCAAATGGAACTGGATTTTGCAGATCATTAAATGATGCTGCAAATGTTAATAGAAGCACAAGTAACTAATTTTTTTCTACCCCTTACTCTGGAGTGGAGTGTTCTTCCTCCAACCAAATAAACAAAATCAACATAGTTCCCAGTATTCTAGAATGAGTAAACACTCAGTCCAAATTGCTATAATTCCTGTGATCAGTCGCTAAAATGTTTTTACTATGAATTGATCATATTTGGAGGGTAGGAGCATAGTCTTTGAGGAGCACATCTGAATTGGAATCCCAGGTCTATCTTTTTTTTTTTTAAGATTTTTGTCATAGGGCTTGTGTACTCACCTGGAGAGGACAGAGACAGAGAGAGAAAGTGAGAAAGCAGCTCCCAGGGGGGATAAGCCACACCGCAATCCCTTCTCCTCCATTTTCCTCCTGGGATTTTAAGCACACCCATACACATTCCCAGTGTGATTTTCAAGCCTCCAGGTTCAGGACTCAAACTATGGTAGGCCATGTGGGAGTCCAACACCTTAACCATTATGCCACCTGCTAGCCCCAGGTGTGCCATTTACTGTTGATGAAATTTTGAGCTGTTGATGAATTTTGAGCTGTTGATGAATTTTGGGCGAGCTTCAGGTGCTTTATTAATAAAGTCATGATTACAATGTCTGTGTCAGTGTTGTTCCTATGGGAAACTAATACACTGCTTGATAAACATGTAATTTGTGTGCTTAACAAATGATAGCCATCTGACTATAGTTTTACTCACTCTAAATGCTTACCACAAAATTCCACAGTCATTCGAACCAGCAGTTAGCGTAATGGCTATGTCGCTGAACTCCCATGTGGTCGATTATGGTTCAAGTCCCAGACCCAGTGGCTTAACCTCACACCGGGCGTGTGTGCATGCATGCCTAAGATCCTGAGAGGAGAATAGAGGAGAAGGAATTGTGGCGTGGCCATCCCCCCGGGGGGTGATTTCTCACTTTCTGTCTATCTCTGTCTCTCTGGCAAGTGCACATGCCCTGTAACAAAAAAGAAATCTCTCCCCCCAAAAAAATCCAGTCATTAAAAAATAAAATTAATTTAATTTCTAGATGTTTAAGTCTTTAGAAAACAGTGTTGTTAGACTAGTTGAAGTTCAAGCTTGCTTTTCACCAAGACTTTCTATGATACAATTATAACACCTGAACTGAGCAGAGAAAGAAACTACTATTTTTATATAGAACTTTAACAAATAAATTTTGATAGAAAACAACAGGAATGTAACAGAGTAGCTGTTAATATTAACTATAAAAGCAAAAACATTTTTAGTTTCAAACACTCTCTCTACCACCACTCCTGGTCTTTGCATGAATGGCTCATTCATTCATTCATTCACTCATTCATTCAATAGATGTCTATTGAGCACTTGATGTGTACTGGACACTGGTCTAATCACTGAGAAAGAGAACACACTGTTGAAGACGAAAGCAGAAACCAGATTTTCTCATTTACCATTGTTTTCTGAACAGTGCCCAGCTCCTATGGTCTCAACGCACACATAATTCAATCCAACGTTAATAGCAAAATTTCAAGTAAGAAAATAATCTGAACAATTCATTCGCTTTTCATGGTCATTTTCCATGTTGATATGTGGAATTTCTTAAGAAAAACCAAAATATTTGGAATATTTCATTTTCAGAAGAGAAATAGCCTATAATAATGGCCTTTAATAATACAGAATCCTGAGTCTTAGTGCTCTGAGACCATGTGTCAATCACAGCTTCTCGAACCATGTCCCACTCTATAAAATGGGAAGGATAATGTGCATTCTGACAGATAAATCCCCGGGCCACCATGCGCAAAACACAAAGGTAGGTAGCCTTACTACAGGACCCTTTAAAACATGCCTTAATATGCATTTCCTACCTGAGTCTGACAAAGTGACCCTCTAAAGTGCAGAAGGGTCAGAATGATTTTCATTTTTTGTTTTATAGAACAAGATACTGAGAATAGACAGTATAGAGAAAGAGGAACAGGAGAACGACGAGGGTAAACCAGCAAATTTTCAAGATGCTGCTATTTATCGAACTATCACTTTATCTCCTATGATCCTCTCAATTACTCTCATTCCCACTTTATAGGCAAGAAAACTGAAGTCCAGAGGGTTTAAGGTAATGACTCACCCGCAGGTGGACCACTAGGAAGTTGAAGACCGCAGGGTGGGAGCTCAGTCCCTCTGACTTCCAGCTCCATGCTCTTCATTTTACCATGTGACTTCTAAGAAAAGATCAAGAGCAAGACATTTGAGAAAAAATAAGCATGCTATGAAGAGAAAAAAAATGTTTTAACTTTGTTTTGCTATAAGGTACATGTACTCACCAGAGAAAGTTAGAGAGACACATAGAGAGAGGGAAAGTGAGAAGTCACCCCTACCCTAGAAGGGATGGCCACAATCCCTTCTCCTCCTTTCTCCTCTCAGGATTTTGGCCACACATGCACACAAGCCCAGCATATTTTTCGAACTGCCAGGCCCAGACTTGAACCACAGAGTCAGCCATGTGAGATCCAATATCTTAGCCACCACATCATCTGCTGACCCCAAATTTTTTTTTTTTTTTAGAAAGAAACTTTTTCCATAGGGCACATGTGCTCACTAGAGAGACAGACAGAAAGTAAGAAATCATGCCCCAGGGGGGATGGCCACGCCAAAATCCCTTCTTCTCCATTCTCCTCTTGAGATTTTGAGCATGCATGCACATGCGCCCAGAGTGAGTTTAAGCCACCAGGTACTGGTAAAAAGAATATCACAAACTCCTTTCATAAGCCCCTTCCCCAGAAGCTATCATTATTAGAATGTGATATAGAGCTTTTACAGTATTTGTTCATGTAAACTTCTCAAGTGAGATCGTTCTCTGCATACTGTTCTCTAACCACTTTTTCCACTCCATTTGATAGACAGTGTTCCAGGTCAATAATATAAATCAATCTTTTCTTTTTCAATAGTGAATATAATTATTCTTTTTCTGTGTTTAAAAATTTAATTCAGTAATATTTTCAGAAGAGAGAATATTACCTCCACCAGTTCTCTTTCAGTCTCTTGCCCAGAGTCAACTACTCATAAAGTTTTCTCCGTTTCTACTAGGCAGGTGTGAAAACAGTTATTTCTTTGTTTCCCAGAAGCATTGGTCACTTGGTCCACTAATTCTGTGCATGTAAGGAATTTTGGTATGAAATAAATATTCATTTCTAGAACAACAAAAAAAAATCTCCAGGTAAAGTCTATGGTAGCTTCTGCTTCTATGGAACTTGTGAAAAGTAGTTATTTATTACATGAGATTCAAAATAATATCCTGTGGCCAGAGAAATTACCATAGTTTTGCATCATGACAGTGCTATGAGTTTTTAAAAGCCAGGCAAAAGAACTTGGATTTTCTCCTGAAGGCAATAGATCAGTTGGACACAATAAGATCCAAGCGAGAAGGAATTTTACCTTTTATCACCACTGTTCCTCTTTAAAACTTTTATACTGGGGTCAGTAGGTGGTTTAGTGGTTAAGGCGCTGGACTCCCACATGGCCACCATGGTTTGAGCCCCAGACCGGGCAACTTGAAAATCACATCAGGCGCATATGTATGTGTGCCCAACATCCCAAGAGAAGATTGGAGGAGAAGAGATTGCAGTATGGCTATCCCCCTTGGGGATGATTTCTCACTTTCCCTTTCTTTGTCTCTCTGACTCTCTCCAGCAAGTACACACACTCTATAGCAAAAAAAAAAAAAAAAACTTAAAAGCAAACAATCGAACAAAACTTCCATATCAATTCTCTTAGCTTCCTCTGGATGAAATCTCAGGTAGATCCCATGGCTTTTCCAATCACTCTCAGATAACAGAATTTGTTCACCAACTCTAAAATAAACATATTTTTCCATTTCAGCAACGCATTTCTAAAATCTAAATCTCCATGGTATCTTATAATCATAATTGAAAGGGGATTTGTTTTCCTCTCATAGCGATATTTAAAAGTAATGGAAGATCTGGGACCAATAGATGGTGTAATGACTATGTCACGGGACTCCCATGTAGTCAACCATAGTTCGAGTCCTGGACCCGGTGGCTTAAACTCATGTTGGGTGCATGTGCATGCATGCCTAAGATCCCGAGAGAATGGAGGAGAAGGAATTGGGGGGTGGCCATCCCCTGGTGGGGTGATTTCTTGCTTTCTGTCTCTCTGTTTCTCTCTGTCTTTCTGGCATGTGCACGTGCCCAATAGCAAAAACGTCTAAAAAAAAAAAAAAATGTAATGGAAGATCTGGGGCCTAATGGTAGTGAAGCAGTACAATGCAGCACTTCGCAAAGCAGACCCACATGGGAAGGTTGCCAGTTTGCAAGGAGACTTCCATGCTTACACTGGGTACAGGTATGCCCATGATTCAGGCTGTCTTCACTTGGGGATGGATTATGGTATCAGAATCCTATCAGGGTCCCTCTATCTCTCTCTCCCTCTTTCTCATTCATGGACTAGATAAATAAGCTCTTTTTAAAAAGACTTTAAACAGGGACTAGCAGATGGCATAATGGTAATGTCACTGAACTCCTATGTAGTTGCCACAGTTTGAGTCCCAGACTGGGCAGCTTAAAATCACACCAGGTGCATGTGTGTGCATGCCCTAAATTTTGGCAGGCAAATGAAGGAGAAGGGATTATAGCATGGCTATCCCCCCTGGGGGGGCGGATTTCTTCCTTTCTGTCTCTCTCTGTCTCTCCAGTAAGCACATGTGTCCTATAGCAAAAAAAAAAAAAAAAAAAAAGACTTTAAACAAAATAATGAGCATCTCGGGAACCAGCAGTTAGCGTAATGGCTATGTCGCTGGACTCCCACGTAGTCGACCGCAGTTCACGTCCCGGACCCGGTGGCTTAAAACTCACGCCGGGCGCGTGTGCGTACGTGCCCAAGATCCCGAGAGGAGAATGGAGGAGAAGGGATTGCGGCATGACCATCCCCCCTGGGGGGGTGATTTCTCGCTTTCTGTCTCTATGTCTCTCTCTGTCTGTCTGGCGAGCGCACGCACCCTATAGCGAAAAAACCTCTCCAAAAAAAAATAAATAATGAGCATCTCATAATTAACTAGCATCTAAGACTCAGTGAAATCTAATGATCTCTTTTTCCAGGTATTGAAAAATCCAGAATAGTAAAGTAAATAAAATTATTTTCATCAAGTTTAAGTTCTTCCTTATTGAACTCTGGCCTACTTAAGGCTTAGAAGCCTGTAATGATAGGTGAATCTCTCTGTAATGAGATATGTCTCTCTAGCTCTTGTTCCTCTGAGTTACTTCTTACCTGAAGCTTTGGGACCTTTCAGGGATTGAAGTGAGGTGAGTGAAAAGAGGTTAGGGTAAATTAAGGTATTATTTCATAGTACAGTCACCATCTGGTGTAGGTGTCCTCTCTGTGAGGTTTGTTCTAAATGTCAATTCTTTCTTTTCTGAAGTGGTTTTGTGGCTTTTTCAGAGATGACCTCCATCTTGCCTATAGTTTCTTTGACATGCAATATGCCTCCTCCAGATAGTCTCTTACAACTTCCCTTTAAGCCCTGGTTTCTTGTGGCCCACTCTACTGGGCTGGGTCCTCTTGTGTAGAGTCCCATTCAAAATAACCCAATAATGATTCCCTCCTGTGGGGCCCCACAGGCTCATTGGAAATTCAAGAATCCTTTGTCACGCTAAGCACAGAAGTTATGATGGATTCCAAACAAGCCCCCTCCCTCACTCTGCCACAAGTCAACAGAGAGCAGGCTATGGCCTTTCATCTTTGACTTTGTAACCGTGTGTCAGGTAACAGTCTCTACAGCCCTTCTCCTCCAGGAGACACGTGAAGAACTAAGAGGTTCACTTGAAGCATCCTCACTGAGTCTGAGAATACTGCTTATGAATTGCTTCTTAGAATGGTCAGTTGTAGGGACCAGCAGTTAGCATAATGGCTATGTCGCTGGACTCCCATGTAGTTGACTGTGGTTTGCATCCTGGACCCGGTAGCTTAAAACTCACGCCGGGCATGTGTGCGTGCGTGCCCAAAATCCTGAGAAGAGAATGGAGGAGAAGGGATTGTGGCATGGCCAACCCTCCTGGAGGGTGATTTCTCGCTTTCTGTCTCTCTGTCTCTCTCGGTCTGTCTGGCGAGCGCATGCACCCTATAGCAAAAACCTCTCCAAAAAAAAAAAAAGATGAATGGTCAGTTGTAGGCAACTTCTGTTTCAGGTTTTATCATCAACTTTATGATAAATACACCCACACATTAAATGTTTGTTTTATATTGTAATTTATTAAATTAATTCATTCCCTACATTTTCTCAGAAATGAGAATTGTTCACCCTAAAAGATAAAACAATAAGATGAGACATTTTAGCTATCTACTTTATACCAGGTTTTATCAAGTTATATAAGTTGACATAATGAGAAAAGCAAAACAGAATTAAGGTAATATGCCTGCTAAGAATGTATAACCTAAGTCTAATCATGAGGAAATAGCTGCCAAACCCAGATTCAGGGACCGTGTACAAAACAATTGGCTTCTAGTCTTCAAATATGACAATGGCATGAGTGACAAAGGAAGGCCGAAGAACTGTTACAAATTTAAGGGAATGACAGAAATTAAACAGCTAAATGCAATGCAGGAACCTGGATTCAATACTGGATCAGGGGGAAGTTTTCTACTATGGACAATTAGAAAAATCAGAATATTGGGATCAGCAGATGGCATAATGTTTATGAACTCTCACACAGTCGACCACGATTTGTCTCCTGGACCCAGCAGCTTAAACTCATGCTGGATACGTGTGCGTGCATGCCCAGGAACCTGAGAGGGGAATGGAGGAGAAGGGATTGCAGCGTGGCCATCTCTAGGGGGTGATTTGTCACTTTATATCTCTCTGTCTTTTCAGTGAGTGTGTGCACCTTATAGCAAAAATCTCTCTTAAAAAAAAAAAAGGAAAAGAAAAATTGGAATATTAACTCTATATGAGACAATAGTGGTGAATCTATTTTTTCTGAATTTGATAATCATATTATAGTCACATAAAATAACAACTTTGGTTCTCAAGAAATATTAAAATATTTAAAGTATTTAGACATGAGACATTATTTTAAAACTTACTTTGAAGTGGTTTGGGAGAAAAATTATATATATATAGGGTCTAGATCTGGACCGAGAAAGAGGAAGAATGGGAAAATGGCAGCACTTGATCAATCTGAGCAAAGTATATATGGAAGTTTTTATAATC